GCAAAACTTTAGTCGTGGAAAACAGATCAGTGGTTGCCAAAGTTATGGGTGGAGGAGGGGGCAACAGGAGGGAGTGTTTTGTGCAGTGGGTCTATTCTTTGTTCTGATTGTGTGGATGTTTATACAAGTTAAATTTTAGGTCTGACTACCCCAAAATGTGAGTGTCGTATGTAAATAAAAGAATATAAAACTGGTTAAACATTTTTAAAAAATCAGTGTACACAAAATGACAGCCTGATAAACTTGCCGTCTAGAAAATTCTGTAATGAGAAGTAGGATCCTAGCCCTTGTCCTGCTTCTCCTGTCTGGTGGGATTCTGAGCACATTACTCACCCCAGGAGCCTCTTAAAATTCCCTCCGTTTTAGCGTTTCTTGAAGCCCCCGCATGGCTGGTCTTCGAATTCTGTCAGTTTCCTGGGTATACGGAAACGACCTCCTTTAGCGAATCAGTGTCTCTGGGCCTCAGTGCCTCCACGTCTCTGTCTGGATGTCCCTACTCTGGGTCTCTCCATCTCTGTCGTCTCTGTGTTTCTGCTTCTCTATCTTCATTTCTAAGTGTTCTTACCTCTGTCTTCCCAGTCTCTGGCCCTCCCGCTGTCTGAGTCTGTCTCCCACTCACTGTGTTTGTCGGCCTCTCTGTGTATCTCTCCACCTCTGGGGTTCAGGTCCCCCCCCGCCCGGCCCCGTCTCCATCTCTGGGTCCTCACGCTTCTGTTACTCCCTGTCTCTGCGTCTCCTTGTCTCTCCGGGTCTGTGTCTCTGCTTGTCAGGGCAGTGTTTTTTCACCTTCTCTCGTTTACCTGGTTGCCATGGCGCGGGGGCGGGTCAGTCGCGAGCAAGGATAGCTGACTGGCTGTGGTCCAGCCCTCGCGCCGTCGCCCCGCCCCATCCGCGGGGAGCACCCGCTGCATTCTGGGAGTTGTAGCCGGTGGCCCTCGCGTGCTGAGGAGTCCGTGGTCTTCGCGCGGAGCTCCAGGCCGCTGGGACCCGATCGAGGCGGCTGCGCCTGAGGTGGGTCTGGCCGGGCCGCAGAGCGCTGTGACCTTCCTTCCCTGAGCGGGTAGTAGTGGGCAGGCTGGAGGGTGCCTAGCAGCTGCGTTTGGGGGTGTCTGAGGGGATGACGACAGGGTCAATGGGGGCCCCTCGTGGGGGCGGGGCAGGCTGTGGTGCCCAGGTGGGCGCAGGGTGGGGGACTGAGGGTCTCCGAGTGTGAATCTGGGGAGCCAAGGGGATTGCCCAGCCGCCCTGGGGTTGGTCCCGGGGTGGGGTCCCTGTGTTCGCAGCCGGGGAGAATGTCAAGGGCCGAGGCCAGTTGTGGAGTCCTGGCCCAGCCGCCGCCTGCTGCTTTCTGCCCTTTGGCTTCCTCAGTGTTTGCCGACCATTACAGTCAAGAGATTTCACCTAAACGTCCCCAAATCTGGCTTCCCTTGAATGATGTAGCCGCCTCTCAGGATGAGCTGCGGGTGGGGAGAGGGCCGCCCAGGACTCGAACTCCATTCAGCAGCCAGCTCCGTGCCCTGCTGCGCCCCATCCGGCCAACTCTTCAGACCTGCCTGGCTCCACAGGCGAGTTGGTCCAGGCCTGCAGGCCCCCTTCCGTTTCCAGAAATGGTTGCAGGCTGTCCACTGATCTCGTTCAGACTTCTCGTTGTTTTAATGGGAGGAGCAGGCCTGATACCCGGCCCTTCCATGTTAGTGGAAACTGAAGTCCCCATAATAGGTTTTTTAGTGATGAAGGAACCTCACATTTCTGGAATAAACCCAAATCACGTGCGATGTTACATGCATCACATGTACAGCATTGTTGGAATGAGTTTGCTAATGCCTTAAGAGTTTTACATCTTTGTGAGATTGTTCTGTAATTTTTCTTTTTCCTATTTTGACTTTATTTTTATTTTTGTATTTTTTCCCGGGCTTATTGAAATATAATAGACAATTAGTTGCTCGGATTTACATTGTGTAATTCAATGAGTTTTCTTCAATTATAATTGGCATACAATAAAATATTAGTTTTAGTTGTACAGCATAGTGATTAGAGATCTATATAACTCACAAAGTGATCACCCCATTAAATCTAGTACCCTTCTTCCCCCTTACATAGTTTTTACAATTGTTGACTAGCCTCCTTATGCTACACTTTATATCTCCATGATTATTTTGTATCTATCCATTTGTACTTAATCCCTTTGCCCTTTTTTGTCGTCCCCTCAACCTTCCTCCCATCTAGTAGCCCTCAAAATATTCTCTGTGTCTATGAGTTCATTTCCATTTTTGTTGTTGTTTATTTTGTTCTTTAGATTCCACATGTACGTGAAATCGCGTGATATTTGTCTTTATCTGACTTATTTCCATTTGGTGCAATACCCTCTAAGTCCATCAAGACAATATATTTTTCCATCTCTGTGTCTTAATCTGAAGAGAGTCTCTTGTAGGCAGCATATGTAGGAGTCTTGTTTTCTTATCCATTCAGCCACTCTAACTTTTGGTTAGAACACTTAATTCTTTTCCATTTGAGGAGAACATGCCTTAGAGGAAATGGGGAGGGGACCAGCCTTGGACAGAGTGAAAGAGACGGCATAGAGCTCAGAGCCCAGCCAGTGGCTTACCTAAAAGAGTTAATTCTCTACGTATAAGAGGCACAGAGGTAGCATTCCTGAGCTGTGGGAAGCTCCTCAGTCAGCAGGGATCCAGCGCCCACCCTGCCCAGTAGTATCATCTTCAGGGTTGCCTCATGAGGTAGAAAGGCTGCTTGGGCTCCTGCCCTCACATCTGCCTTCCAGATGTAAGAAAGTGGGAGGAACCAGCCCCTTAAAAACTGAGTAAAAGTTATGGGCACATTTCTGAGCCCTCAGTGTTGGCATAAGTTGAGCGCTTGGGCTGGGTGGGCAGTCTCCATCTCATTTGAGGTCAGGGTTAGGCCTGTGGGACTGGTGGTGATGAGGCCCTGGAGACTTGGGCTCAGGATCAGAAGCCTGGGTCCATGCCTGTCCCCTCCAGGTTTACTGTGTGATCGCTAGTATGAGTCTCAGCCTTTTGGGCTCACTCTCCACTCGGGATTACAGGGACACTGTCAAGTCCTCCTGTGGGAATATCATAGCTTTGAGCAAAGGGGTGTATGGGGAGAATGCTGAGCCTTCACTGTCTGCCATTTTCAAGTAGGCTGGCAAGGGCCAGCGAAGACCTGGAACCCAGTGAGACCCAGGAACCTCCTGAGACCCATGAGTGGCCAGCCAGCTCTTGGGCAGATGTGGTGGACCAGGGTCTGTGATTGGGACAGAGCAGGGGGTAGATGCTGTGCAGGAATCATGGGAGCCAGAGAAAGGCCAGGTAGTGGAGGTCTGAACTATAATTTCGACTTCTCCCTTTAGGTGACTCTGGTGAACGTGACAAGTATTATTTTAATTAAGTTTCTTTTCAGAGATCACACAAATTATAGTGCTTATCACAAATAGTGAGAAGCGTTGAGGTATAAAAAGAAAAGTAATAATATCTGCACTCTCTCATACTCGCTCTTCCTTTCTAGTATAGGATGTTCGAAGTTCATTTTGTTTCTACTCTTGTCAACCCTGAAATCAGCCATTACTCCAGTCCCAGAGAATGGGTCTGGGGGTAGTATTGGGGGTCAAATCTGAGTGCCAGGTGTATGCATGCTACTAGGGTTCCTTCAGCTGAGATAGGGTATATAAGCACATATACAAACACATACATATGCAGAAAAAGGTATGTGTGTGCACTTGTACATACAATTAGTCTACACTCCATATTTTTGTCAATATTTCAATATTGAAAACCCTAGAAACCCCAAAATCATCATATTCATTAAATCCTAAAATACCTCTATTTTCAAAATCGCTTTTTCTCAAACCACTACAAAGCATACTCAAAAGATTTCAGAATTTGTTTGTTGTTTCCTTGACTATCACCCAGCCTAAGACATTGTAAAACGCACACGGATGGTTAGTTGAACATAGAACAAAAATATAGCCAGACGTTCACACTCGTAAGTCTCAGGGAAGCTGGGCAGGCACAGGCCTTAGTGTCAGGGGGTCTGTGCCGAGGGTCTCAACTCCCATCCAAAGGACAGGGACATAGACCATTGAGAGAAATACAGCAACCGGGAAGAACAATGTGACCCAGATGAGTTAGGGCTGGAAAGCGTACAGACCATGGGACGCTGGGCCAGGACACAAGAGGTGTAAAATGTGGAGGGCAAGGAGACCCAGGTGGGCTGACAGAACGGAAGGAGTTCACAGGGACAGGGAAAGGGAAATCACACATGGAAACCTAGCTAGACGAGAGTAGAGTTGCATGGGAAGAAATGCTCAAATAGCCTCAGTTATAGACTGTGTTGGGTCCCCCGCCCACAAATCCATAGATTGAAGCCCTAACTTCCAGTGGGACTGTATGTGGAGAAAGGACCTTTATAGCAGTAAATAAGGTTAAATGAGGTTGTAAGGGAAGGGCCCCAATTCCACAGGGGGTCCGAGAGACTGCCCCCTATGTTCAGTCTTCCGAGAGTGCTAGCCCTGAAACCAGGAAGCGGAAATTTAATGCTGGCCGTGTATACTGCAAAGTCTCTGGAAAGGGTTTCCTGAGGAAAGGTACATGGGTCAGAGATGGGAAGATATATGCACATGAACCAGCTGGCAGGTGGCAGGAGTGGTCCCTGAAGGAATCAGAAAGTCCGTTCTCTAGGCCCTGAGAAGGGCGGCACGTTTGAGTACAGAGCAGGACCTTCAGACTGTAGGTCCTGAAGGGCGGTAGGAACCACCGGAGGATTATGAGGCAAGAGTGACCCAACTGTATTTGTATGAAAAAAACATCCTTTCCCAGAGCATATGAGTTACTGTTACTGTGTGGCAGTAGTCAAGGGTAGCGAGTCACCATTTTAGGATTCTGGATGCCAGGGAGACTGCTCTTACTGGATTCCTAACTAGAAACCTTCGGGTTAAATTATGTAAAAATAAATGCTTAACACCAAGATGAATAAATGAAAAATGGTTCAAGAGAGGATTAAGTTTTACATTTCTCAAGGAATAAATGTTCCAGAATGTAAGGTTCCAACATGGAAGCTCATGAGATGGTGCTTACATGTCCAGTCTTCCAATACAAATCCTTTCAAATCCATGACATATAAGGATTAAATTACTACAAGATAATGCAGATAACCAAGTTAAAATTTGTTCATACTACAATGATATTTTATCACATGGGATTCAGATTGTGAGACTGAATGTACCTTAAATGATTTACACATATATAAGAAAACTTTCTAATGAGACATTTGAGTAAACATAGTGATTCCATACAGATGCCGCTCTCATGTCTGGAACACTCTGCCATATTTTTTTCTAAGACATATCAAGTGCCAATCTATAACTTCATAATCCCCACATGTTCCCAAAAGTGTAATGAGCAATTATGATAAATTGGGATGGCACTTGGTTTGTATAAATGAAAGGCATTTTTTGTGATTCTTTCTACTTTGAAACCTGTTTGGGAATCTGGTGGATCCTTGGACAGAAACTAAGTCCAAATGCACTCGTTTTCCTGCTTCCGTTTTCGGTTCTGTAATATAGAGTGAGTGAGCACTCAAGGCTGCGGGCCTTCAACATGCATGACCTGCACATTTCCTTACTGTTTGGACAATCTGAGGAGTGCACTTTGTGTGAAGGTTGTGTATAAAAGTGTGTTCTTGCTCATGACTATTATCGGGTCAAGTCTCGTAACAGATGAACTATGTATGGCTTGAGGCTTCCCGTGTCCGAGCTCATGTGGAGGGCGTCACGCAGTATGAGTTCTCTGGTGCTTGGTCAGGGAGGAGCTGTGTGTGAAGGCCTTCCCACAGTCCCTGCATTCATATGGCCTCTCTCCCGTGTGGATCCTTCGGTGCTGAGTGAGGTGAGTGCTCTGCTTGAAGCATTTCCCACACTCCGGACACTCATAGGGCTTTTCTCCGGTGTGCGTCCTCTCGTGCTGGCTGAGCGATGAGCTGTGACTGAAGCATTTCCCACACTCGTTGCAGCCGTAGGGCTTTTCCTTGGTGTGGATCCTCTGGTGTTCTATGAGAAGGGAGCTCTGGCTGAAGGCTCGGCCACACTCGTGACACTCATAGGGCTTCTCCCCCGTGTGGATCCTCTGATGCTGAATGAGCGAAGCGAGCTGTCTGAAGGCCCTGCCACACTCGTGACACTTGTAG